TTTTAAGAAGATATAAAAAATGATGCTATCCATCATTTTTAGTTTTCTGTGGGAGAGTGGTCCAAATATACTAGCCTGCCCTATTTCCAAAAATGGAAATCAAACCCGCTTATTTTATAGTTCACAAAAATAAGTCCAGAGAGGCCAGTGACTTGCTCAGACTGTGGAGCTGGCTAAGGCTGAGTCACTGCTGAAATACAGGGCTCCCCTCACCTCCCAGGGCTGAGTTTTGTATAATTTGGTGAGTCTGATAGTTTTGATCTCACTGTCCACAGAAGCAAAGTGATGTGAGTGATCAAATCCTAGGAATAATGAGTATGGTTGAAAAAATTATAGAAATCAAGAATTCTATCTCTATTTCTTTAAATAGAGTGCGTGGTTCTAATTTTGTCCAAACTAACATTTGCAGTTTGGCACTGAAATGTCAGATGTTTTAGAGTGGCCCCATGTAGAGCTAATACAGAAAATGAAAATTTGCAGATTGCTCTGTTGGTACTTCACATCGCTTCTCGGCCTTTTGGCTAAGAACAAGTGTTGCTACTTCCCAGAGCAACTGTCAGTCTCACGAAACTTACCGAGTCTATCTGAGTTGGAATAAAATAGGAAATTAGAATAATCTTGAGCAGTTGAGCCCACTTCAGGCTTTGGGAAGAATGATTTTATGCACACTTGCTCTTTCCCCTTTGCTGTTTCCGACAAGGATATGTCTTTGCTCTTCATTCCTATCTGGAGTGGAGGGTGCAAAGCAAGGGAGAGGTGAGAACTGAATATTGAGACAACCCATTTGTCACTACACTGCGTTAATGGACTTCGTGCATGTTTTCCTTGTATTTTGTTTTGTCTCACCATCTCGGTAGAAATACTTCTTATATCAAAGTACTGCCTTATTTGTCTTTGTGGTATTCTAATTCAGTAAATAACTAATGAGCCCAACCAGTGTCCTGTACCACACAAGGTACTCACTGAGGAACAGATATCATAGTTTGTATGGTGTAAATGTGCAGCTGTCTGTCTACCCACATGGTTATCTCTATACTGAGTCCTGTATACTTAATGAACTGCAGTACTGAGCCAGCCTCATGAACTTCACTGGTGTGCTTTTTTTTTAAAGTATTACGCAGAGCTCTGTTTCATTCTGTCCTCTGTGTTGGGGACCCTGTAGACATTTTCTCCATCAAGTTCAGTGCTAGATTTCGTTATGTTTCTCCTGAACAAAGACTGGTAGATGTCAGTCATGTTTCACTCTTGCTTTGCCTACTTAGTGGCTTCCAAAATTTTGGCTGTCCTTTAGCAGATACCAAGTTCTTCACAGTATAGATTTTGATAACCCATCATACTTCTGGTCTATTGTTTCAGTCTTTTACTGCTTTGGCCACTTGATTCCCTCAAGTATTCATTTTGTGTGTAATGTTTTATATGATTCTGCAATTTTTTGTGGGCTCAGGAGTGGGTGGAAACTCTCAAATAAGTTTATTCATTCCATGTGGGGAGAAGAGGGAGGGGGAAATGTTCTAGGTGGTTGTAGATAGGAAATTCCTACCACAGAGGCATTTATGGTAGTGGGGAAGAGCCTTCACTGGCCCTAGCTGCCTGTGGCACCTATACTTTTGTCCCAGCTCTGTCACTGACTGATAGCTTGGGCAAGTTTCTATACCATCTAAGCTTCAGTTTTGTGATATATAAAACCGGGATATAGTTAGTTATGTGCTGAGCAGTGCATATTTCGGCTCATTCTCTGTGAGCTGATGCTGTGGTTGGGGGAGTGAGGAACAGTTTGGGTCAAGGGAATCGCAGAAGTAAAGACATGGTAGTATCAAAGAGATTGCAGAGCCCAACAGGGAGCAAGGGCTGGCCATACACACGCTGCACATAAAAAGTGGGTCCAGGGAAGAATGATGGGGATGCAGATGAGATGGGAGGGTGCACTGAGGGTGTCCCGGACAAGACTTTTAAGATACGGCATGAGAGGCCACTGTTAGTGGGTTGGGCACGATTTGTTTCTAATAGTACGGTTTCAAGGATCTCAAACACCTGGGCTCATGAATATTACCTAGCACACTTGTTAAAAATCCAGTTTCCTTGGCCTCACTCTGAGAGTGCTAGACTCAGTAGGTCTGAGTTGGGCCCAGGAAGCTCATCTTGAAGTAAGCGTGCCCAATAATACGTGGATACACTTTGTGATGCATTCACCTAGTCATTGAGGAAACACTTGCTCACTAACAGACAGGTCTGGGGAAGCTTAGTGGAGGGAAGATGGAAATGAATGACTGAAAAGTAGCATGTTTGCCTTCGTTATGAATTACCTCTGACCAAGCTATACCTTTGTATCTTCTTGCTGTGTATAAATGAACGCCAGTTGTATAGATTTTTTTTCCCTCAAGGTAAAATGCAATTAAAATTAATATGATGGTTGTATTTATTGGATTTGGTGAAGCTAGTGATTTATCCTCCTCTTCTAGATCTAGCAGGAGGCTGAGGGAGGGAAGAGCCTGCTCAAAAGAGAGCAATAAAGGGGAGGAAACAGAGAGGAAGGCACAGCAGCACAAGGTCAGGAAGTGAGAAAGATGGAAATGGGGAAAGAGAAGTCGGATATGATTGGTTGGGAATTTATTTGTGAAGGAACCAGCCAGTATTTAACCTGTTTTGAAAAAGCTTGACTTCCAGCATTTTTAATTAGTGGATTGCTTGCTTTTGAAATTGCCCAGTTGGGAATACTCAAGTTTTGATGTGTTTTATCTGCCTGCTAATTAGCAGGCTGCTTGGTTGACCATCGTTTTTCCTTTATTGGTGGACAGAAGATGTATATAGAGGTCTCGTGAAACGTTTCAGCTCGAGTCAGTTCAAATGTATATGAAACTGCATTTAGAAGAGCTCTTAAATTATAAATCAAATTCTCTTACATCTTTTTCTCTGTTTTTTTTTTTTTTTTCTTTCTTTCTTCCCTAGAATTGCGCTTCTAAATCTCAACTCAATTGGCATGTGGAGCCAGAACATTTTTGGTTGCAGGAGGCTGTTCTGTATTTGTAGGCTCCTTAGCAGTGTACTCACCTCTACCCTCACGATGTCAGGACTTCTCAGCAAATGTTAACAACTAAGATTGTCCCCAGACATTGCCACTGTCCTCTGGTGACAAAATGATCTCAGTAGAGACCTACTGGCTTAGCAGTATTACCTCTGCAGACTTTGTGTGTTTAAAATCCTAATTTCAAATTGACAAGATAAAATGAGTCCAAACAATATGAAGTCTTTTGATAGACAGAAGGATTCAAATATGTTCCCTTATTATTTTTTGGCCACATTGAAGAAGAAAGTGCTGTCATAGTAATCCAGGCTGGCTCTTACAGGTGGAAAGCAAGTCAGGTTGTACCTGACTTTTGAGAATCAGTGGTTGAAAGATTCTGTTATTTATATGCCCTTTTGTGGGCTGAAAATACTTGTTTTTTAGTTAAGAATAAAAAGAACCATGTAGGTTACAAAATTTACTCATGTAAGGATCCCAGAGGGTTGTAGTAACTTCTTTATGTACTTCAGTTCACCATATACAGAATAAACAGCAGATTTGGGGAAGTTTTACACCTTTTCTCCAGGTGTGATTCAGTCCCCCGAGCTTTGCTCATGTGCCTTAGAGCTCACCGAGCACTGATTCTAACTGTCCATGGGGAACATCTGCTTGTAGTTGTGCTGTTTTCTGAAGCACCAACTTTAAAGGGAGCTGACATACTATTTGTGGGAGGGAGGGAAGGAGGCAGGGAGAGAGCGAGAGCGATAAAGAGAGAAAGAGAGTTTAGTGTCAGTTTAGTGCCGTTGCTATTCTGTCTCTTAAGATATTCTGTGACATGCTGTACTCTACTGTTCCGAAAATAGATCAATCAATTACACTGTGATTACTTCTCCAGATAAGATAGCAGTAATAAAAGGAGTGACCGTAGACTATTAAGAGAATAAACAATATCACTAAAACGTTAGGGGAAACAATGGATGGGATTATGTCACCTGGACCAGGGTTTCACACCCTCTTCCACTTCTCCCAGAGGATGTATGTGGTGTCATTAAAATCATATAATAGGGGACCATTTATGCTTACAGTGGGCCTTTCATCAAAAAATCTCATAGCCATTCCTAAATGTAAAGCGAGTGATCTTTAAAACAGTAATTAGTGTGGTAACTTAACTGTCCTACGCTTCTGTTGGGTATTTGCCACCCACCGATAGAAAAACGTCATAATCCACTTGGTTTTAGAACCATACTGGGAAAGAGTTTAGTGATTTCCAATTTTCCAGGGGTTTATGTCGGTTCCTTCACCAGTGTTTATCTATATAAAACCTGGCTTTGTAATTTCATAGCAACTCTCATTTTTGCATCTGAAAACCCAGATTAAAGATTGGAGGCCAAGTATTACATCTACTTAAAAAGATTTTTAAAAGAGGAAGTTTTGTTTCAGCCTTGAAAAAACCTGTAAGCAGCACTAATATCCCTGTAATGTGCTGATGGAAGTAGGCTATGAATACTTTTTTGTTTCATATTTTCTGTTGCTTGTTTTTCATCTGCCATGATAAACCTTGGCTAGAGAGCTGGAAGTAAGCAAAATCATTATAGCAAGGATGCTGAACATATTAGTATAGGTATTTATCTCAATTTAACTTCTCTTTTTGGTTTAAGGTTGTGTTATTGTATTTTATAAACTTATTTTGTCCAAAGGATTTTAATAAAACTTGCAGTTTGGTGGCTGTGAAAATCAAGGCAATCAAACATTTTGAAGGATGGGAAGTAATTTTTATGTGCATACCTCTGGTTCCTGAGGGTCCAGTTCATTTCTGCTGTGAATTTAAATGAGTTAATTTAAGTAGATGGGTCAGAAGCCACTATCATCATGGTAGTCCGGTGCCTGGTTCTTAATTAAAGGCAACAGGAGATTAATTTGAAACGTTAATTTAAAAGTGCATATACAAAAAGAAAGAATTATTGCAAGAAAGCCTAAAGAACTTTTCTCTTGTCCCTAGATGTAGAAGACAGAAGTAGCTCAGGGTCCTGGGGGAATGGAGGACATCCAAGCCCATCCAGGGTAAGTATATCTAATCTTTCTTTCCCACAGCCAGGCATCCCACATATGTAAATTGACAAACCGAAGGTGAGCTTTTCCGTACACACAGGCACGCGCACACACCTCTGACAGATATGTGTGCATATATGCATACTAAATGTAATGAGGATCAACTTGCTTTGGGAATTTTTTTTTTTTCATTCTCTTCTTAGATACTGTTATGGAATTTACACCTGTTCCATTTGTGCTAACCAAAAGAAGAATCCTTTATAAAATATTTGATCATACTTTTCCAATTATTGACTTAATATTACAGGAGGCCATTATGTTAAAAATAGAACACCATCCCTGTAATGTATTGGTGAAGAGGCTAAAGGATAATAATGAAGACACAGAATGAGCTTCCAGCCTAACAGTATAAACTGTGTCATAAAGTTGGGTCAATTTCACTATGTATGTGTGTTGTTATTTTACTCACATAGAGTAGAGAATACTTGGGTCACCAGCTGGATTTGTTAATTTATTTGGTCTCATATTTTTGCTTTCCTTTATCCATTTTCCTCCACCATCCGTTACTCCATTGAGTGCAATGGAAAGAATCGTAGGGTGGGGTAGGGTGGACAGGGGCTTAATCATTGTTGTTGCTGTAAGCATAGGACCCTAGGCATGTCATTTCACCTCTTCAGTTCTCTTTTTCCTAATTTGTAAAATGAAAAACCGGAAGCAGAGTCCCAAGTTTCTTGTAATTTAAATACTGTGAGCATGATTTTGTATATAATGTCTTTTTTAGTTTATTCTTTCCAGCTTTTGCTTTGTACTAGCCCATGTTTATGAGTACACGATTCCATTCCTTGTGTGGTGTTGGTACATGTCCATAATACGTCTCAGTTTTTTTTCAACCACCACTTCCCCAATCGCCTGATCCCCTTCCCATTTGAAAAAGATCCATCTCCCTGCTTCTTATCATCTTTGTTTTTGTTCTTTATTTATATTTTGTTTCTCATATAAGAGAAACCATGTGTTATTTAAGCTTTGTATATGATGACTTCAGTGAAATCTTTTCTAGGTTCTCTTAAACTCATGCAAGTTTTTTACTTCATATAATGCCCCAGATTAAAAGTAGAGCTAGTGCACCTGGCAAAACAAACATGTCTCCTTTCCTCAGCTGATTGTAGGTGAAACAAGCACTCTGCTGTGAGAATACTGTTTAACTTCAAGTGCTCATTTCAGTTTGGGATGGGAGGGGTCTCTATTTTGGCCTTAGATGCAGAGGAGGTCATCAGGCTATCAATGTGAACATTTAAGCAAGTCATAGTTATACATTTCCACCTGTCCTTGGCTATGTGAGCCTCACACTGGTCTTCAGGGTATAGCAGGAACTCTTAAGCTTATGAAGAACTTTGTTGAGCCCTACACCAGCTGTCGAGCCTGACATTCTAATGCATTATATGGATGGGCTGAGGAAATCTTTCCTCCTACTCACGTTACAGTCTGCACTTGCAGAAATAAATCCATTCCCTTTGACAGCAACTAGAGATGATAGAATTTCCCTCTATTGTTCAGTTCATTCAGATTTGCTTAATTATTTTTCCTATGTACAGTTATCGTATATGTAATTTGGTATAGTACTGTGAATATTGAACTGAATACACATAGTGAGAATAGGAAATTTTTAGGTAAAATTTAATAATTTTAATTGAGTTTTGGCAAAGTCCATTTAGAATCCTTCTGACTTACTTTGAAATTTAGTTTTCATTTTATACCATTTTTCTTAAGGAACATATTGGTGAACAATTTTGAATTTGTATATATTTTTAAATCCAAGGAGTTTGCCTAGGACAGACCATTCATAGAATTGTACCTTGACAACCTTGCCAGTCTCTCTCCTCTTGCCTTCAAGTGGTGATATGACCTTTTACCTGCAGTACTATACTGAGGATTAAGTTAGATAATGTATATTATGCTTTTAGTCTGCTATGTAGGATGGTGACACTAAATGACTAATAATTGGTGTTATACAATGCCTGGTATAGAATATGTGAGTATAAATTTCATGACAAACATTTAAAATGGGGCATCTTTTTATATGTCCACATACTGACAAAATGATAGTATCATCCATGTTATTTTTTTATAAATGAGGAAAGACAGTTGAAAAAGGTGCTTTTTTTTTTGTTTGGGTCATTCTCTGGTGAGGCAATATGCCTTCTCATTGTTCACACAATATCCATCATTTTTGTCTAGGCCGAGCCTGTCCTTTGGCTCACACCCAACTGATACTACTAAGTAAATTTGGCTTGGACTTTATGGGCATTTCAACCAGCTGAGCAGAGTCACCCTTTTTTTCTGGTGGTGGTGGGGAATCACTTTATGCACTTTAGGAAAGGTTTTGAACTCTGTAATTCAGATGATTTTAACTCTTTCCTACATGTTATCAAATTTCTCCATTAAATTTGAACAGAGAGCTTAAACACACTGTTATTAATTTTAAATTTTCAATAAATTAAGGAGGTAATTTCAATAAAAAGTTTCTGCCAAATGATGTTGCTTTAGGATTCTTTTTGTGGCATGCTATGTCCAACTCCGGAAATACTAATTTATGCTAAAGCATTTAATTCATTCATAATTATATTCTAATCTTTATATTCTTACCGATATAAACAACCAGTTCTCTTACAACCATAATAGTAACTGTAGTAAGTCATTAAAACTTGAATATCATATAACTTAAAGTTGCTGTCTAAGCTGCTCTCTCTTGGTTTTCCATAAGAAAATCATTATAGGTTATGGGTAGTTTTCCCTTAATAGCACAATCATGCTTTAATGTAGACTTACCAAAAAAATGACTTTTAATCCTTTTCAGTATACTTCATATTTGTGTGGTATTTTATATCCATATTTAATTTAATCATAGTAACAGCTCCATGTAGTTGGTACCATTGCTGTTATTCTCAAGAATTCACAGCTATTATGAGGAAACGCTGAACTCTGTGGACTCTAGAAGTCTCTTTTACACCATCCTGAAGAGAGGTTTTACAGAGGGGAGAAGAGACTGCAGCTTCTTTGACTGGGAGAGGTTTCAGCAGTGGGGATATTGTATTTGTGTGCTGATTTATTAATGTAAAATTAAAACTTACCCTGTTTACCTACAGAACTATGGAGATGGGACTCCCTATGACCACATGACCAGCAGGGACCTTGGGTCACATGACAATCTCTCTCCACCTTTTGTCAATTCCAGAATACAAAGTAAGACAAATTTTAAATTAACTTCTGTTCTCTGAGCATTTATGTTTTACTATGGAAAGGGAAACCATGCCTTAAACAAAGCCCTGGTGTTTAGAAGTTTGGATATTTAGCCAACTTTTTGAATCACAGAAAGATATTACTAACCTACGCTTGCTAAAAGCATATGAAGAACTAAGTTTTACAGTTATGTGGAATTAAGTCATTTCAGTGTTGCTGAATCTCTGTGGAGATGCTGACTTTCTCAGACAAAGCAGTTATCCCAAGTTCAGTGTTGCAATGATAATTTTCTTAGATGAGGTTGAGGGTGTCAAAGTGGTGAATATTTAGAATAATATCATCATTGAGGTTGTTGTTTGTCAAGGACATACAGTGTCAGCTGTGAATTTTTATTTTTGGAGTTATGGAAATAAAATACTGTCAATAGGTTTAGTTTGCTTAAATCAGAGCAGTGTATTCAAGTTGAATTGTGAAGCTGGATTGTGTCTGTTATCAAGATGTGAACTTCAGAGCTAATGGTAGGCAGATCCTGGCTTGAAGCAAGGTACCGTGCTGTCTATTGTTTGAATCGTCTGGGACTTTCTATATTGATGTTCATACTGCTGTTCTTTGCATATTTTTCTGCGTTTGGCCGCCTTGTAGAGATGATTGTTAAGCAGCAGTAACTGGAAGGGCAAAAAGATAATTTATAGTGGCTTAAAAGGTCCCAATTGCTGGCTACTTCTGTTTTGATTAAAAAATGGTCTTTCTTTTAGTGAATGTGAATTCTTAACACTAGTAGTAAATCTGTCAACCTGGCCAAATTTATCCAATTTTCAAATCTGTCAATAAATGAAGTTAGATTTTATGCTATAAGCTATGCAACAGTCTCCAAGGAAAACACACAGCAATAGTTATACCATTCTGTAACTAATTGGAAATGCTTATGGAGAATGTCCTCATTCTTTAAACCTTGGAAGCCGCAGCAGTTCCTTAACATGTGGCTAGAGTTTTAATTTTGTTTTTTTCAAAAATCATCATCAAATCAGGCATTTGACACAAAATTATTTTTTAAGAGTATAACATATGTTTGTTTCTTTGAACGTCATCCCAACTTTGAGTACCACAAAGTTGTATTTGATCCCCAGTTGTTCTTACTTTTGTGCTTTTTGACTTCAAAATGGTAAATTTCATTTTTAAATGTTAACATTGTAAAAAAATGAGAATCCTATCTCTGTATCAGTTGTCGATAGGGAAGTCCATCAAGCCTTTTATTTCCAAGATATATTTTTCAATTTAGATTTTAAAGGACAGTTTTGGACTCTTCATCGCCAATGGGAATGATTTTAATCCTAACACCTTTACTTTTCTGTTCTTCTGTACCCAGTTTCATAAAATAGAATTAAGGGTTAATTTGAAAATGAGTTTTTAAAAGTAGCAACTAATGAATATACTAACTTCCTTAGAATGTTCTCAAGTTATCCTCTGATGAGCTAAAGTAAATACAAGACAGTAAATAAATTCCTATTCACATTTAGAAATTTGTGTTATATATGCAAAAAAAAGCTTAAAGAAGAACTTAATAAGTTAATACTGCAGAACATACCAAGCAACAGAAATCTATTAAATGATTGCTTTTTACATGATTCCTCTTGGGCGTCTGTTTTACAAACCAAATTAGTTTTTCAATCCAAACAGTATTTAAAATATAAGTGGGCCGACAGTCCAGAGCGGAGAGAGCTGATTCTTTTCACTTAGTTGTTGTTTAAGCTGAAAATCCATGTCAGCCTTGCTCTTTCATGCTGTCTGCCCTCCTTCCCATTAAACTCTTAAATATGGAGGCCAAGACAGTCTCCTGCATTGTGATAGGAAATGCTACTATGTCCACGAGGCTCCCACCCACTGTTCCCAATGAAAGGACCTCTCTGTTAGATAAGCTGTCTGGTCTGAAACATGGCTCTTTATTGTTTACAAACTGCTACATTTTCCACCTCAAGCAGATTTTTGCACAGAAAAGAATTGTGCTTGGGCTAAATGGTTTATCAGACATTTAACGGGACAGTGTCAGACTTGGGTCAGGGAAGTCGCCCTCAGAGCAACAGGGCACTGTGCAGTGTGCAGAAAAAGAAAGAGGGTAAAAAGACATTGAAGCAAGTGTGGAATACCTTACATTTTTAGTTTAGAGGAGAAGTGAGAGAATATATATATTTTTTAAGAGTAGGAAAAATTTATTGAGAGAAGGAAAGCTTCTGTCTGAGAGGGACAGAAGAGGGCCCGGAAAGTGGGTTGCCCTGAGAAAATATTTTTAGAGACAGTGATGTTGCTAAAAACTTTGCCCACTACTGTAATGTCTCACATCCCAAACACCTTCTTGATTGCCTTGGGTATCTCAGGGCCAGATTCAGGGAACAAAGATTCCCATTGATTTTGCCCATGCTGCTGTTTATTTAAAATGAACCCAGATTTAAGGTGAACCATGTTTGGTATTTGCTATATTGTTCTTTTCAAGAAATTAAAGAGAACCTATTTACAAATGGGGGTAAAGATAATGTCAGATCTCTTAATAGAGAGGACAATTTGAACTTAGAGACTGTGTGCTATATTTGAAACTGTTCTTGTGTCCAACCCGTTTTCTACCCTTAAAACCACTGTGGGTGTTTTCCTTGTTCCTAAAGAAGATATCAGACTTCACTGCAAGTTTTGGGTAACAGTCTCCTCTTACAGTCTTTAACTGGTTTTCGTTAAAACTACAAAGGATTTCTTTACATTGTAAAGACTTAATTCTGCCGTGATGTTACATTGGGTAAAAGCTATAGCATCGGAAATAAATCAGCCACTTTATTGGAGCAGATTCTCTATTGTCAAATCAATCAAGCCTGTGACTGAATTAGGCGTCTGCTACAGAAATAAGTGACACTAATTTTACTGGAAAGGGTTATTAACTGCAGATGACCTGATTTTTTGGGGGGGAGGATTTAACCTGTTTATTTAGTAATGTTTTATTATATTGCAAGGAAAGAAAAGAGTATTGTGCTACTCTTTCCTATTGGGAATGAGTTGTCATTGTAGGTTTTGTTCTTTATGGTAGTATTCTGAAACAGTACAGGCATTGCTAACATATTTGCCCATAAACTGTTTTATGATAACAAAACCCTTCACTACAGCTCTGAAGTTTTTATTTCATATGGTTTTGCCTAAACGTTGCAGTTTGTACAGTAATAAATACTTCTATTTGATACGAAAATACCAGACCTGTTAACTTATAGCTCTATTTCAAATTTATGCAAAATGGCATATAAATGATAAGAGTAATAAAGTGTTAATGTATTCTTTCAGAAATAAGTTTGTGTATCTGAAAATAATAACCTGTTTCATAGCTTGTGAATCACTAAAGTAAAAACAAACACACATGTGCTTATATGTGTGTGCACATACAGGCTCATACACTCACCAATGTGTCTCTTTTGCTAAAAGACTTACTGACACTTCTTGGTCTGTACGACTGTCCTTATTCATTACATTTTAGTCTCAGTTGTAGTTGTCATACAGAATTTCAGTGTTTAATAGTGTGTACATCCTTGAAAGAAAAATATAACTGAAGTTAGCAAAAATAAGCTTCTAAATTAAAAAAAAAATGGATACAGGTGGCTTTTGTTTCAGGGTGTTGTTTTTATGTGGAAAAGTTTCTGGAGGGATGGAGTGATGACAGAGCTTGTCGCCTACCCTGCTCTCACCTGACCGTTTGTAGGTCCTCAGCCATTGCTTGCCTTGGGTCAATACATGCCACTTTGCATTTTGCCTTAGATGGAGTTCCATGTACTCTTTTGTATCCAGAGGAAACAAATCACTTTATTCTGGTGACTGTTATGACAGCAGTGTATCCTTTATCTGTTAGAAACTTGTCACTGTATTTTTAAAACAGTTTGGTTGAACCTTCACTGGTGATCAGTAGAGTAGCTATCATAATATGCTAATTGGACTCAGGGGCCCTGGATCTGAGTCCTGTGTCTTTGAGAAATTATTTTTATGCTATACAGTAGTTTAAAAATCCTGGCCAAAATTATATACAAAGAATACAGATTTTTAAAAGGATCTCTGCCCTTCTTGGCCATCCATGAAACTTTTTCAAGTTACTCTCCAAATATTTTTACAGTGGTAGACAATATACCTTCTAGCTAAAACTCTTTGATCCAAGGAAGAATCTGAGCATGTATTTTCCTTCGATTGTTCCAGAACCTTAATTGAAAAGCAGATTGCTGGAGAATAAGTGAGCATGTTGCCCAGTAAGATTATCTACATGAATTGGTGACCGAAGGATGTGAAAAGTGATACTTTTGTGCAGTTGGGCACAGCTTAGTTCGACCTCAGCTGCTGTGTTTTCACATGTCCCATTGCTAGTAGCTCAGTTTCCTCACTGTGGTATTTGGTTTTAGTCCTCTAATGGTACTGTACCAGGGCACTCAATAATTCACCAGCATGGAGTAACTGGTTTCTAAACTAGCTCAGTGGAACATTTTACTGCAGGATTAGTTTGAGGTTTCAGGCAGAACTGAAGAAAGCTGCTGGCTTATAGGATGACCTTTGAATCTCATCTGGGTTAGCGGTTGATATTTTGATTTGGTTACTGTGGTCATATTGTGACAGCTGCTAGCTCATTATAATTCAGTTCCAGCGCTCCGTTTGCCTAGCAGGAACATTTAGGTTTGTATTACTTCAGAGTGTTTATGGCTACCCTGAGTTTAGCCCAGCATAAAGGTGAAGTGTTGTGAGTGTTTTCAAATCCCAGTGGCAGAGGCGAGTGCCACAGTCCTCTTGTAAAGTGGCCAGTGGGAGTAGATGCTAACTGTACAGAGGTTTTCTTTACATTGAAAAACTGAAAGTACCTCATGAATCAGTTCTTAGAGGAAAACTGTTTTTGGAAACCTTAACGTACAAAGGAAAAGCATGACCACAAAGAAACAATCCTTTCAAAGCATTGGTAGGCTTTTATTTGCCTTCTTGGTCAGATGGGTTTTGCATGCAGG